CCGAGCACTGACAGTTCCACTCTGTGCAGCTCTGGAACTCCCACCACAACCGCCAGGTCTCCTGCCAGCTAGTCTTGTAGTTCACCAATCGAGGCTGGTGTCTGGAGTTAGGGCCTCATGACGGACGTCACTCTCTAAGTTTGAGAATCCAGTTGATCTAATGCCTGAGGCTCTGGAGGGCAGGGATCCAGTCGCTCTTGCTGCCTGTGCTCATTTGAGTGCAGGATTTTCATACCATGTTGGATGACTGCCTTCCATTGGTCCTTAATAAGCCCTGAGGTGACTGAGGTTTGGGGACGCTACCCGAGACTCTAGCAAGTGACGGCTGAGTTAATAAGCATTTATTAGAAAACAATGGCGATTTGGCCAGCCGGCCCCTTCCAGCCTGAACTCACTATGACCCGGTATCCATGGTCCTCATCAAATCCACAGTCAGACCATTAGGACTTGCATTTGAAATTGTGACCACTCACAGCACCCGCCTGCCTGAGGCCGGGGGCTTTAACACTACTCACATTTAAAGGTGAAAATGAGAAAGTGTGGAGTAAATGTTAACCAGATACATTACAAAGAAACCTTGGAGCATGCTGAGAATTATGCTTGTTGGTTTTCCAGTTTGACTTCTTTTCTCGTAGAGTAACATCGAAGCCAAGAAAGATAAGATGGTTTTCCCTTTAGTGACCCGTGTAAATATGTATCTAGACTGTTTTTAAATGTTTCTTCACGGATGCTTCATCTGGCTCCAGGAGGCCTCTGTCACCTGTGTAAGTGGTATTTGGGCACTTTATATTTTTCTAAAAATGTGGTTTTGGAACCTGTACTCTAATAAATCATAAGTTTCTTTTTAAAATTTTTCCAAAGTTTTCTCCATTTAAGAAAAACCCTGTTATAAAAGTAGAACTTTTGCAATGTTAAAATATTAAATATTTGGATATAGTAACTTCTTTTCTCTTCCAATGAAAGCCAAGGTTTTTTTTTTTTATATATACAATGATTAATAAATGGAACTCCTCCGGGAACACCACATGAAGGGCCTGGCCGAGTTCGTCCCAGGACAGAGGCCCTGCCAGGCCCTGTCACAGAATGTCTCCCGTCTCTTCTGATGAAAAATTTGCTCTGCTGAAACTTCTGACATTGGTGAGTGGACAGGGTATCTTTAAACTGTGATTTTCCTGCCAAACCTGAGTTTCATAAGCTCGCGAGGAATCTTGCGAGTATCTGGTTATAATGGAAAGACTGCAGCTTTTCAGTTCTGTTAAAAGTGTGTGTTTGTAAAACGAGAACTTCAAAAGCTTTGAGGGAAGCCCAGGTTCTCGGTGTGTCGTTAACGTGGACCCGAAAGCTGCACGACATGCCGCCCGACCAGAATGTCCTGCCGAGTGCTGATGCTCCGCGATGTCACCGCGCGTCGTGCGGGAGGAAACTGTCGTGGGCTAGACGGTCTCCCGGGCCCTGCAGTGTGCTGCGGCGCGTTGTGACTCCAGGAGTGTGTGCTGCGCCTGCCTTCCTGGCGTCCCAGCTTGGGACGTCCCCCCGGACAGGCACACGTACGTGCCCGTGGTGTCCCAGGGTCCCGTGTGCACAGACCTCCTCTGGGAAACGCTGTCTCGGTGACACCAGTCACGCCCAACACTAATCTCTACCGTGTCGTTGTGAGACCAGTTCTGCCGAGCGTCACCCACCCAGTCGGATTCTGAAAGGCCGGCTTTTGTTGTCTCTGCCTGAACCCTGTCGTAGATCGCCATTGCAAGTGCATTTACCCAGCAACAGTGTTCCCTTGCGACAGCCAGCGCCCAGTCCTGTCGCCGAGTCAGTTTACTCTCTTTCCATACCTACTTAATGTCTAACTCACAACGTCAAATGTCGTGGTCTTCCCCGACGCGTTAGATGGAGTCGCGCCTCCATGTTCTGCTGCCAGCAGGTCCCTTTGCTATCAAGGGAGCTACTCCTTTCTCTCGGTCATGAACTTGAACTGCCAGCAACTTTTCATTTGAAAGATCTTGTGTCCATAATAATAATCAAGATGTTTGTCTGTTGTTTCTGGGAGGGAAGGGGAGACAGTTCACCTCGAGGAAATGAGGAACCCGTCACGTGGCAGTTGATTTTTGAAAACACTAATGGCTGTGTTGCATGCATCACTTTGTCTTGCTTGCTTCCTTTGAGCCAGGCACTGGCCTGCACTGTGGTGGCCCTCACAGCAACCCTGTAAGGCAGGGCCGGCGGGTGACGATTTGTCTGGCCTGCACATGGTCTCAGTCATATATTCTTCTCTGTTTTTAAAAACGTACAAACATCCTGAGCTCGAGGGCTGTACAGAAGCAGGCGCAGGCCGGATGCGGCCCCCGGGCCATCGTTTGCTGACCCCGGCCGAGGGGTGGGCCTGCCTGGCATTCCGCTCGCTGTACAGACGGGGAATCGCGCACCCTGCTTGTTTGTAGGTGGGAAACCTGGCATTTGACAGCCACACTACCGACTACCTCGCAATGTTTTTATCCTTTGCCTTGCAGCAACTTTAACTTCTTACCTTTCACTTCTGAAATTTAGAATCAAGAGAAAAGGACATTCCTGCGGTGATTCAAATGATGTGCAATTATAGCATAAATGTACTATGGCCATTTAGCAATGATTGTATTAGGGTAATGCTACTTCTGTAATAAATAGACCTAAAAATATTGGATGGCTCACACACAAAAGAACTTTCTTGCTGGAGTAACGGGGCAGGGGAATGGGTGGGTGGGGCGGCCCTGGGGCAGTCACAGAGCCACTGCCTGTGTGCTTGCAGGAGCCCCTGAGCCCATCTCCATCCAGCCTGCAGGGGATCAAGCCTGGGGGGGACTTGCCTGAGGGGGTTCTGGGAGCCGAGGCAGCAGCAGAACTTGCCACTTCCACTCACACTCCCCAGGGGCTGGGAATCAGAAGAGCAATGTGGCTAGCAGCTGCTGTCCACATCTCCTGCCTGGGTGTGCTCCTCCCAGGCGGGACACGCCTGCTTCCCGGGGAGGCGGCCTTACCCCTCCTGTGCTTTAAAGGTTGACCTTTCTCGGTCCGTCCAGGTTGCATACCAGCTTGCTTATATTTCTTGTAAGCAAGCCCCTCTTCCCTCTCCCATTATCCCATCTTCCATCTGTTAGGCACCTCTCTGCTTCCGGGCTGTGGAGAACAGAAACATGCTGGTCCATGTCTCTCTCCAAGAGCTGTCAGTTTTCAGAGACATCCAAGCATTCGACTTGGAGGTCCAGCCGGAAGTCTTGAATGGCCGGAGAGACTGTGTGCTGGGGCTCAGCCAGGTCCCCTGGCCTTAGCTGACACTGTCCCCGGAAACTTCAGCTCTGCTCACGGGCCAGTGATCTGTTTGGTGTGGGTCGCTGGGCGGGGCCACAGTTCTGCGTTGGGTTGAGTCTGCTCACGCTCTGCTGTGGGACCTGGACCTCATCATGTGGAAAACACCATGAGCAGAGCCTGGAATAAGTGTGTGTGTGTGTGTGTGTGTGTGTGTGTGTGTGTGTTGGGGGGTGTGAGTGGTTAGACTTGAGGCGGCCACAGGGGTAACGTGTGGCTGTTCAGACCCCACCTGGCTGGGAAGCAGGCGCTCATCCCCGCAGTCTGGTTGGCATCATGTTCAATGAAACAGGCTTTCCTTGTGCTTGTTTTTGGAGCGGGGGGAGGGGGTGGCTTTTCTTTCTTGTAGACCTCGGTGGGATGGAAAGTGAGCTCCGGGAGTCAGCATTCACACTTCCTCCCGTCTGTGTCCACAGCGGCTGACACATAAGAGGCGGGCGGATGCTTCTAGAATGTGAGGTGAAGTCATTTACCGTCCCGTGAGCAAAACACTCCTTGCCAAAAGCACAAACATGTCACCCTGTGTCAGAGCTCACTGTCTCCCGGGCCTTTATTCTGTGCCAGCCCTGGATCCACTTGAAATGATCCCAATTGGACACGAGAGGAAACTGAAGCTCAGAGAAGTTGAGTGGTTTGCCCAAGATGGCACAGCAGCTGAGGAACAGGGCCCAGGTCCCCACCCAGCTCTGCTGGCTGCAAACCCAGCTGCTCTTTCCAGCTGGGCACGCAGCGCCCCTGTCCTCCTGGAAGTCAGACATTGAAACCTACCCTCAAGGTGGTGGCTCTTGGAGGTGGGGCCTCTGGGAGGTGATGAGGTCCTGAGGCGACGCCCTCCCCATGGGATTAGTGTGCTTATAAAAGGGGCCCCAGAGGCCCTCACCCCCCGCCGTGAGGACACAGCAGAGGCTGCCACCTAGGAGCCAGGAAGCGGGCCCTCAGCAGACCCCAAATCTGCCGGCGCCTTCACCTTGGGCTCCCCAGGCTCCAGGACGGTGAGTAACCCATGCGTCTAAGCCGCAGCCTATGGTACTTTTGCTGCAGCAGCCTGAGCAGATTAAGATAACCAGTTCCTGCGCAGAGTTCAGCTTCTTTTTCCTGGAAACGTCTAGAATACGGCAGCTCTCCCTTACAGAGGTGTGGACAGTTTCCAGGGATCGTGCTGAGACAGGTTCAGCGAGTGCAGTTTGGTTGAGTTAGCGAGCCCCAGAAAGGTGGACTCGGGGCACACACTTTGTGACCTTTTGTCAGAGCACGACTTACTCGTGTGCACGTCGGCATTTTGCCTTTCCAGGGATCAGTAGCTGCCAGGCAGAGATGTTCAGAGGACATAGACTGAGGGTTTGTGTTGGTTTCCTGGCTTCTCAATCATGTATTGATATGAGTGTGTTATTGAGCAGCAGCTAAGATGTCCCCCGTGTGTGCTAGGACTTCCACCTCCCTTGTTTCTTCATCACTCCCCGAACTCATCTGAGCACCATTTACCATTTGTTAGTCACTGGAGCTGGGTTTCGCCCTCCGCTGGGGGCTGGGGGTGGACAAGCTGCTGCTGAGCAGAGGGCGGGTTCCGGGTCCGAGGTGCGCAGGTCTGTGACCTGTGGAGCTGTGAGCCCTGCGGGAGGGAGGCAGAAGTCCCCCGGCACAGCATCGTGCCGCAGTAAGAGAGACACACAGATGGTTCCGGAGGGAGGGAGGGTGATGGGCCTGGGGCAGGTGTTCTGCCGTTTTATCTGGTGGTGATAGACTCTGCTGAGTGCACAGCGCAGCAAGGCTCGTTCGGGATGAGCCGCCCGCAG